TTGATTTATTAAAAATATTTTTTGCTCTTTTGCTATTTACACATCATCTTTTGTATCTTGAGTTAATGAAGTAATTTGACTCGTTTAATAAATTTTTAGAATCTTCTAGTGTTCTCAAACATTTTCTGAATATAGAAAAAATCAATATTAATAAATACAATTCTACATAATAACTTTATTTAATTTTATTGAAATTAAATTTGCCTAATTTTATAACTTTTGCTTATAATAAATCAAAATAACTTAGATCTAATGTTAACAACAGGCAATTCTACGAATAAAATAGTTTCAAATACCCAACTAGCCAACTAAATTTGTAAAAATCCGAATATAACTTGAAAATCACCTTCTTTGGGGGAGGGGGTAGAACATATTTCCCCCTCTTCCCCTTCCCTACACACCCCTTTCTTCCTAAAATCGCCTCTGACAACAATTTGAAGTTTATTTCATGTTCAATACTTAACAACCAAAATCTAATTCAAGAAATCTCAGAACTTAAGAACTATTAAATATAAATTAAAATATAAAGTATGATAAATGATGTTTAGAAATTTAATAATTTATTACTTATGATGACTAGTTAGACGAGTTTATACTTAAGACATCCTGAAGTTACTCCAGTAACTTCTTGGATGTCATAAGATTCCAACCTTAGTCCTGTATTTTTTTAATTCTATAATAATGATCTTACTGACAATATCCCAAGCAAAATTATACGTACTAAATTCGTATTTGCGCAAAATAATACGTAAGGTACGTAAACTTACGTCTATATGACGTATTAAATAGTACGTATCTTTTAATCCGTATGTTTACGTATTAATACGAATTTAAACTAAGAAATAATATCCTAAGGCTAAAATACGTATTTTTACGTATTTTAAAACACTTACACAAAATTTATTTGCGGTTAAAAATGCTAGCTAAACATTTCTACGGTCTCTTTTTATAAATAAGATAAATGACTCGAGGCGTATGATTTTTTTTCAGCAATTACCACTATATTATATCAGTTATATATACTAATATATACAGTGATAGGTATACAATATCATAGAGTATTTAATCAAATAATATTTAATTTTTATTAATTTAATTTAACATTTAACTTGAATATTTAATATTTTAAATTAATATTTAATTTTTAAGGCAATTTTTAATAAAAAACAAACAATGTCATTAGAGGTTTTGATAAAGTTCAACTTGTTATATTACGTAGAGTTATAATTTAAATTTTCATCATTATAATAATTAAAATAGTATTATATGATATATAGGGTAAAGAAGGGTAATAAGATCAGCGGGGCAGTAGGATCTAATAGCTATATAATATATACTATATTATGTAGTATATATTATATAGATATAAGATATATTATATATATATATATATATATATATATATATATATATATATATATATATATATATTATATATATATATATATATATATATATATATATTATATATATATATATATATATATATATATATATATATATATATATATATATATATATATATATATATATATATATATATATATATATATATATATATATATATATATATATATATATATTACCAGTAATATAATTATTATATATAGTTTTAAGAAAATTAAAATATGAAAAATTAAAAAAAGTCAGTATTATATTAAATATAATACTGACTTTTTTTAATTTTTCATATTTTAATTTTCTTAAAACTTAATAATAATAAGCATTGAATGTGAATAATATCCTTAATTGAAGAAAACAACCAACATATTTACACCATATTTTACACTCTGTATGTGTAACTACATATATTTGTATCATATACATAATGTATACATATGTATGTATGTATCTATGTGCCTTTAGGATAAATAACACCCGGATATATATGTATATGTATATATATATATATATATATATATATATATATATATATACATATATATATATATATATATATATATATATATATATATATATATATATATATATAGAGAGAGAGAGAGAGAGAGAGAGAGAGATTAGGGCTGGCATTGTCCCTGTTTTTACCAAGGAGTATCTTTTTCCGGATATTCCTGGAATTCCCGATATTTTTCTCAACTCTTAGTTCATCCGGATATCTTTAAAGTTTTAAATACCTAAAAGTTTAAGTATATATTTGTGTAATATATTTAATTTATAAGTTTTTTTAGTAATTACTCCTACAAAAATTAGGAAAAGTTTCCAAACATTTGAGAAACAACTCAGCTGAAATCAAAATTAGGAAGAAAATAAGGGAAAAAATATACTTGATATTTTACGAAAAGTATTTTTTGGATTTTTCTAATATATCCAGGATGATCTATGTTTTATGTATGAGAGCACAGTAAAAAAATTATTTTTAATAGATTTGGCGCTGCACTCTCCTACGTAAATATCGGGAAAATGTCAATCCTTTTTTTTGTTTTATTTGCAGATTTTTATTTTACTATAATTCTATATCAAATGTCTTCCTCAAGAAATAAACGTAGAAAAGTTGCCATTGCAGTTAGTAATTTCTTGAATATCACAAATGGTTTGTTTTATCATAAATTTTATGTTTTTACAGAATCATTTTTATTTATCAATTATAATACTTACATTAGTCATTGCCTATGTTGTTTATATTAATTTTTACATTATATATTCTGTTTGGTTTGTTAAGTTATGATTTGAATTATTGTTTAACTTTAATTTTAGAATATCAAGATGATAATGTCCATTTGGAGAAATCCAAAAACTTAAACGACCATTCTGATTGTTCTGATTTTGAACCTGTTTCAGATACTTCACTGCATGAAGAATGTAATGGAGATGAATCTCCATTACATTCTTCATGCAATGAAGTATCTACCAGCAGTGATTCTGGTGGCGAAAATCCAAGTGAATTTGAGTTGCAAATTAAGTTACGTGATTATGCGATTGAAAACAATATACCTTATGCAACAATGGACAAATTGTTATGTATTTTAAAACCTTATCATACTCAATTACCAAAGTGTTCAAAAACATTATTAAATTCAAAACCTGTAACAATTAGAATTGTGACTAATGGTGAATTTTTATATATTGGTGTTGAACCTTTTCTTCAAACATTGAGTGTGTCTAACCCATCGATTATCTGTTTGCAATTTAATATTGATGGTGTTCCAATCTATCACAATTCTGAAATATCATTTTGGCCAATTCTGGTAAAAAAAGTTAACGATTCATTGTCACCAAAAGTTGTTGCTATTTTTAGTGGAAGGAAAAAACCAAATTTACAAGAGTTTTTTTCCCAATTTATTACTGAGATAAATCATCTTAAAAGCAATGGTGTTACAATTAACTCACACTTGTGCAATATTCATATAACTAATATTGTATGTGATGCCCCTGCACGTGCATTTATTAAGTGCATAAAGTATCATTCAGGATATTCCAGCTGTGACAAGTGCACTGTAGAGGGTGAATGGCTAAACAAGGTTGTATTTTTAGAAACAGATGCACCCTTGAGAACATTAGAAAGTTTTGTTTCTAGAGAAGATGATAGTCATCATATTGGTGTGACACCTTTATTAGGAATTCCTATTCATCCAATTAATAGTTTTCCAAATGACTATATGCATTCTGTCTGTCTGGGAGTAGTACGAAAACTTCTAAATTTTTGGTCTTCTGGACCATTCAGTGTTAAGCTATCTTCGCAATCACCAAAAACAATATCAGCTCGATTAATTCATGTTTCATTGTTCTTTCCATCAGATTTTAACAGAAGACCTCGTTCATTGGAGAGTATGAATAAGTGGAAGGCAACAGAATTCCGATCATTTCTCCTTTATTCAGGGCCTATAGTTTTGTGTGATATTCTTAGTAAACCAGTTTATGAACATTTTCTTATTTTACATAGTTCCATATTTCTATTATGTAGGTCACAAGAGCATGAAGTTATTAAATATTGTGGTGAGTTGCTGAAAATATTTGTTACAAAGGCTGTTGCCTTGTATGGCAAATCATTTATGTCATATAATGTGCATTCTCTTATACATCTGGATAATGATTGTTTACAATTTGGACCGCTTGGCAATTTTTGTGCTTTCCCCTTTGAAAATGCTCTTGGTCATTTAAAACGAAGAATTCGAAGTGGATATTTGCCGCTTCAGCAAGTAGCTTCTAGTCTTTCTGATAACAAATCTGAACATTCTAGGAAAGTACACACTGATGGAGTTTCCCTTCAACATTGTAGTGGGCCTTTACCAAATCAGGGCCATTTTTTGCAATATAAAGTGTGCCATTACAAAAATCAAAGGTTTTCAAGCGGTTTGCGGGATAGTTCAGTAATGGTAGGACAAAAGTGCTATCAAATAGTTAACATCTTAGCAGAAGACTTAAAAAATCCATTATTCTTAGCCAGGTGTTTTACTGTGCAAACAAACTTTTATGACGTTCCACTTGCAAGTTCGAAACTATCTATTTTTAAAGTTAGTTGTCTTAGTGACACTTTGCATACAATTCCGTTTTCTGATATTGTTATTAAATGTTGTTGTCTCCCATATTCTTCTTCCTTTGTTGTAATCCCATTATCAGAGATTTGAGTTCTTATTATATTTTAGAGTTCTATATATTTTTTCAAATAAGATAATAAATTTATATTATACAGTATTTGTAATTTGTTCCATGTCTATTTATGGTATACAACATGTATTTCATTTTGTTATATCTATTTATACATTTCTTACAATTGCTTTAATTTATTTGGGCAGCTTTTTAAATATATAGTGTAAAATTATGAACTACATTTACACATTTTATTATTTCTTTGTTTTGAAGTTTAAATTTGCAGAATGTTAGTTCTTGAAGTATCTTTGAACGTTGTTTAGCAGGATGTAATTGTATTACTCTTATATGGTAAATAATAGGTAAATAATAATAGGTCTTATATGGTAATTAACTATTTTTTTTTTCTTTATTTAAATTAAGCAAATTTTTTTTTTTAATATTTTGTATTTGAAATTTTTTTTATAACAGATGTCTTATTCAGTAGTTATTTTTAATATTGATAATGAAGTGGCAACAGTGTCCAGTAAATGGTTCAAAGATTCAGGATGCGTTTTGTGGCCCAACTGTAGAGTAGGGAAGAAATTGCAAAACATGTTACTAAACCATGAAGAGCCAGGTGCTGACTGGATTTCTTATGAAGTACGAGTGTTGTCCAGTAACATCTGTAGGTATTTTTACTGAGAGTAAGCATTTCAACTGACTAAAGGAGACATGTTTTCTTAATTTTTTAATTATGAAACAGTTTAATTTAATATCTTTATAATTTTATTTTTGTAGTAACTCTCAAATCAGCAAGGGCAAAGGAGCGACTAGCTGAGGAAAATTCTGATCTTAGTTCAGCTGAAGATGGTAGCAGAATTATATATGCCCCTAGCAGATTTAACAGTCAAGAATATTGTCAACCACCATCCAAAATCAGCAAATTAACTTCAAATAGCCATACCACTTCCTATTTAAACAACCCCTTGATTCCTCATGCACCATCACTAGTTTCTAATCCATCTTTAATTCAAACTTCAGCATCGTTTTCTAGTAAGCTAAATGTTTAATTTTGTTCAACAAGAACAGGCTTGTTGACTGATTAATCATTTAATGATCTTAATAACCATTTTTTGTATCTGCATATAGCATTTTTTATATCTGCATATAAGAATATGTTAGATTTGTATAACTTTTATGTAGCTAGTCAATACTGAAAAAAAAATTTTTTTAGATGATGATCATAGCATATTTAATACGCAAGAGTTTTTACGACCCTTAGCCAAAAATAGAAAATTTAATTTTAACTGCCAAACCACTTCATCTAATAACTATCCTTCATTTCCAGATAAATCAGCACTAGTTCCTGATTTTTCAATTTCAAACTCTGTTCAAACTCCAACACCAATCTCTAGTGAGTTACTTAATTTTATTCTGTTGAAGATTATTCTTTAAAATATATTGAGCAATGGCTTTTTGCTACAATTCCTTATTATACTGAAGATGTTTTTGATTATTAAAATATTTTTGTTTTATGGCTTGTTTTATAACATAAGACAGTTTAATCTTTTATTATCGTTAATCATAATCTTAAATTAGTTCTCGTAAATCATAATAAGTAAAATCAAATATTTTACATTATATAATACAAACTATTTCTCCATCTGCATTTACCGGTTAAGGAATGGTGTTATAATTTGCTCTGGATCTGTTGTTACGTTACCAGAAAGTTTTTATTATTTTTTAGCTAATGTTCCTTGTGCATATCATTGTACGCATGTTGTTACGTGGTTTGAGAAATTATTTAAAGAAATACAACAAATGCGTGCAGAACAGACTGTGATAAATCATCGTTTAGATCAACAATGTCAAAATGAGCATCAGCATGTAGATAGCAATTTTATGAATTGTCTTCCACTTGAGAGTGAAGTTGATTTTGAACGATTCGGTATAGAGATAGATAGTGACAATGGAAAACGAACTTCTTTGGTAAGTAAACTTTTGTGATGTTTCTGTTAGGTATTCTATGGGTAAAATATTTGAAGGCATTTAATTTGGGTTGTTTGAGCAAATTTGTCTATGTTATTTATATAAATATATAAAATTGTTTTTTTAAAGTTTATGTAAACCAAAATGTACAGCATAAAATGGATATTTTCTAATTGTTGTTCCTGTTTAGATACGTTATTTGCGGAAGAGGTCAGACTCAAATGTCAACAAGACCATACTAAATATATTAAGAAGTTTATTAAAGGACAATGTTCTTAGTTGTTATTCTAGAGATGGGAAACGCGGAAAAAAAAGTTTTTCTTCAGCAAAGGGAAACTTTGTTTCCATAATTCAAGGTCAATATATTTAATATATATGAAAATTACAAGTATTACTATGTATAAATTATATATTATCTTATTTATAGTTATATATTACCCTAAATGAATCATTAAATGTATATTTATATATATATATATATATATATATATATATATATATATATATATATATATATATATATATATATATATATATATATATATATATATATATATATATACAGTTATGGCCATTGAAATCCGACCACCAGTATCATTTTACTTAAAACTAGTTTAATGTAGTAATAAACAATTGTATTATAGCAATAAAAGAATAACAGTAGCAATTAATGATTATAATGTAACATATCGTACATATTTAATGTTAATATTAATGTTTTTTACTCTACTAATGTTTTTTAATGTTCGTTGAATTTAATATTTAGTGGCACCACCATGTGCTTTTAAGACTGCATTAATGCGATCTGGCATTGAATCCACGAGAGCCTAACAATATTCTGGTGTTATTTCAGTAATCCAAGCTTGACGAATTTTGTGCGCTAGATTGTCCAGTGATGTAGGATTAGTTCTGGATACTGCTGACTTTAACTTGATTAATTGATTAACTGCTGACTTTAATGCGATCCTATCACAGATGTTCTTTAAAGACAGTCGCGGTTTGAGGGCTGGACGACGAGAACGTAGGCCTACATCTTTCAATAAACGTCTTCTTATTGTTCAAGTGCTGACTGTAACGTCATTAGGTAGATCTGCTCTGATTTGTGTGCTGGATATTGTTTGATCTCTCACAGCAGCCCTGCGTATCTTATTGTCTGTTTGTTTGCTAGTAATTCTAGCTTTACCAAAACGTTTTTGGGCGCAGTGGATCCTGTGTCTTTGAGTAGTTGTATAATATCATGAACAGTTGATTTTGGCATTCGATATCTTGCATATATCTGATGCTCACTTGCACCATCCTCCCATAAAAGTTTAATATTAGCACGAACACCTTTCTTCGTAGTCATAATTAAATTGTGACAGTTAAATGATAATCCATACCCTACAATGAGATATATAGCTTAATAAATTTTACAGTGCAATAAAATAAACACTAATGTGATTGTCTAAAAGCTAATTAACTAATCATTGATAACAGGGAAGAAAATAAATTGATTATTCGAGTGCATAGACTGTTTTTCTTTATATTCAGCAGTGGTCGGATTTCAATGGCCATAACTGTATATATATATAAACATATAATAATTTTTTGAGACCCTATTTAATGTCTTTTGAATGTGATTAGTCAAAAAATTTAATACATTTAATTTAGATGTTGTTTTGAAAGTTCATAAAGGTGTGTCGTTGGTCCAAATAAATGTTGCGATTTCGGAACAATTAAAGAGACTCAATCAAAGAAATCGAAATTCTAAGTCTACAACAGCTGAAGAAACTACACCTGAAATTCCAGAGTTTGATTAAAAACCAATTATTTTATTAATTTTAAAATAAATTGTTAAAATATAAAGTCTTTTTTATTGTTGAGAAGACTTATAAGTTTGAAAGATCCTGCTTACACACTTTGGTTAGCACTATGACATGTTACTTATTTAGGGATAGGCGAGGGCTTCAGTACATACACTGACTGATTTAGGGAGAACTCGCAAGTGAGTTAAAAACACATCCATTTTATTATTTATTTTATTTTTTTGAAGAAGGTCAGGTTTTGATTATTGATGAAAAAAACTTTTTGTTTTATGACATGTTTTAATAAAACATGTCCTATAACAAAACAGTTAAATTTTTGTTCATTAAAATCGACAATTATCTTCATTTTATATTTAACATAATAAATATTTTAAATATAAAATATAACATTTTATTCTTTCATTTACAGGTGGGTAAAGTTTTTGTTTTATTTTGAAACGAGAACATCATTTGCTCTGCAGCTGACGTTCTTGTTTTAACAAAAAATGTGCTATTTTTTTGATAATGTTCCTTATTAACATCATTGTAACAGTTGTTTTTTGCACGGTTATTTAGGTTGCTTGCTTAATTTCATTAAATAATTTATGTTATTATGGCTGCAAAATTATTTAGAAAAATACAGCAAATGCTGGAAGCTAGAACAGGAAGTTATAAATCAGCATCTTGATGGTAAAATGAAAATCAACAACTAGTAGCACTTCTTTGAATTGTCTTTAAATTAGAGTAATGTTAATTTTGATTGGTATGGAGATAGATGCATACAATGGAAAACGAACTGCTGTTATGTGAGTTTTTATAAATTTTAGTCTTTCTGAGGGCCTAATTAAAAAAAAGATACTCAACTTGGTTTGTTTGGAACAATTTTGGTTATATGGTATAAAAACTTAAAAAATTAGTTTAATGACTAAACAGCTTTAAAAATAATCTTTTACTACAAATAATGAACAGACACTAAACAAAGTTATATACTTAATTGTAGGTAGTATGTTCAGCTGTACATAGTATGTTTTTGTAATTTTTCTTTATATCTAGATTTTTGGAAGATGTTAAACAACAAGATGTAATTCGAGGTAAAAATATTTAGTATATGATATTTTTTATTTACTTAGTTATGTGTGTGTATTTGACATATTTTTGCCACACAAAACATATTTTTTGTGGGGAAGTAATATATGTTTGGGAAGAGAACATTCTTGAGACACTGTAAAAGTATTTTAAATAGTATTGCTTATTTTTGTTGTTGGTACATTCAGATACTGTTTAGTATGTTTTTTAGAAACTATTTGTACGTTTAGATATTGTTTCTAAAATTCTTAAAGACGTGTTATTCGTTCAAGTAAACGATGCTGTTAAAGCAGGTTGTCTGAGCAGTTAAAGAAACTTAATCAAATGATTCAAAATTCTCTTCTTTAAGCAGCCGAAGCAACGATACTCGAAATGCCTGGAATGGATAATTAACCAAGTAATAAATAAACTTTGAAATAAAGTTTAAAAATAAAAAATGTCTTGTTTATGTATATTGTATTATATATGGCTTATAAATTTAATTGCCGAAGTTACATAAATAATACTAAAAAAAATTCTATAAAGATAAGTATTTAAAACAACCTATCAGCGGCCAATAGTACCGTAAAAAATACGAAAAAAAAATACGTATTAATACGTTCAATAGATACGTATTTAAAACACCCAATCAGCGGCCAAAAGTACCGTAAATAATACGAAAAAAAAATACAAAAAAATACGTATTAATACGTTTAAAAGATACGTATTTAAAACGCCCAAACAGCGGCCAAAAGTACCGTAAATAATACGAAAAAATACGTATTAAATACGTATAATTTTGTTTGGGATTACATATATTTAGCCTTATTTGCATTAGCTTTTGATTGCTTAGAGCAGGAAGCTGAACTTGTTTCTGTAACAGCTATGGACTTGAAATAGCTGGCAAATTAAATTAAAAAAAAACTCAGTTATTTACTGCTGATAATTATTGCAATATTGCAATGTTATTGATATTTCTATATTAATAAATAATAACACTATTACTGAGTCTTCTACTTTAAATCTTCACAGTCTATCAAACTTAGAATATTACTCTTTAATGTTCCTAAAACTTTTATTTATAAGGCTTTTTTATTCGCACATTTTTTTTTCTTTTTTCTGTTTTCCTGAACTATACAATCTACGTTTTTGAGCCTTCTAGCAACGACTCTCTTGGTGGTTCAACTTTAACGGGTGATAACTAAGTTTTGGCACAAATTTAAACTTAATAATGTTAGAAACTTTATTCTAGATCTATCAAATACATTGTAATATTGTCAAATAAGTCTAATATAAAAAATAATAATGAAAAAATAATTAGAGTCCAAATCTCCTTATTTTATCAAACCTTTTCCTGACTGATAAAGCATGGTTTTGTACAAACTTTATGTCCATATTGCTAAGGCATCTAGCTATATTGTTAAGGTATCTAACTCAACAAGATTTTTTTTTGTAAATCTCCATTTTCAAGTTTTCCCAAAAATCTTCTATTGGAGGAGCTTCCGGTAAATTTGCTGGATTCATGAATTGGTCTAAGTATACAATGAAAAGTTATATTCTGGTCTTTCAAAAATTTAGTTACCTTGGAAGCATAATGAGCAGAATAAGTCAGGCCAAAAGACATAACCACCAGCACTATAATTTTTTTTTAATAAACGGAAGGAATTTGTTCTTTAGAATTTCACAATAAACGTTTTGGTTAATCGCGTTTCCAGATTTTCAAAAAAATGATTTTGTTAATCCTTTCGGTAATTTAGCAAGCAATTTAAGCAACTTTTGGGGATATTTTTCTTAAAACTGTATTTAACATTATCCGGTGTCTTATTCAAGTCGGTCTTTGCCTGGCTGATCAGCTTGGCTCAATGTAAAGTACGATTCATCATCAATTAAAAAATCACGATTTCCATAATGCAGTAAAATTTGTCTACAGTTTGAAGTGGCTTTTTAATTTTTTTTTAATACTTGATGTTAGTACGCATTTTTAACAACATTTTTAGCATGCGGTTAAGGGGGCTCACCCCCTTCAAAATTTTTTCGAGAACTATCAAGTGCATATGCTTTTTAGGGTATTCATTGGAAAGAACATTATAATAGTAGTTAAAAAAATATATTTTTATTTTAAAATAACGACAGCTGTTGCCATGGATACTAATTCAAAATGGCGAAAACCATAAATTCTTGAAATTTGGAAAAATAATTTCCTTGGATTGGTAAAATATTTTTTAATGAAACTTTCTAACATTGTTTATTAACATAAGATGCATGCAATAAACCAAAAAAAATCAAAATATTATTTTGGGAAAGATATCTATTTAAGTTTTTAAAAAATCAACAAAATTTTTCTATATTTTTAAGATAAAAACAAACTTTAAACAAGCTAATTATAGAAAATACAAAAAATTTAGAGCAAACTTTTGGTTTATTGCATGAAACAATCTATTTTGGGTGTTGTGTGAAAATTTTAGCTCAAAAGCTATAATAAAAAAAGAATTATCACATTTCCAAATTCTATTAAACTCTGAAAAAACGCATATTGAAAAAATAAGCAAAACGTAAAACATTTTGTAAAAAAAGCTATAGTAAGATGTTATTTTTTAGAGCTTTTTAATTCTAAGCTTGATAAAACTAATTTAAAGGGGTTTTGATAATGGAAAGTTATACAACATCTAGATAATCTATAATTTTATATTTATAAACTATACCACACGAATAAAAATAAAAATTGAAAAAATCGCTGTGTAACTAAAAATAAGGGAATACGATATTCAGAATAAAAAAAACATGCCCTATACATTCTCTCTTTACAACTTCTATACCATCGTTTTCACTGAAATAATGGTTAAATTCTCATTTTTAAATTTTTTTGAGAATTTAACCTTTATTTCAGTGAAAAATGAGAATTTAATCTTATTTTTGAAAAATGAGAATTTAACCTTTAAATTCTTTAAAGGTTAAATTCTCATTTTTAAATTGATTTTTATTGTAATGAAGGTATTCCTTAAATGATTTATTTACATTAGGAATTTTTGCCTCAAGTTTAGGTCCTATATTCACAAAAAAATATTTAAATTCATTTTCTATATTGTTTTCATTGACAATAGTTTTATTTTTAATATGTAAGATTTTCGAAAAGAAAGATTTATTGATTTTCGGTTTTCCAATTATTTCATTTAGTACTTGCCAAGTTTTCCTCGAATTTAATTGACACTTTTCAAGTTGCTTTTTATAATAGTTTGATTTTGCAGTTCGTTTGATTTTCTCAAATAAAGTCCTGTAGATTTTATATTCTGCCTTGGTCTTTATGCACTTATTTTTTAGATATTTATCGTACAGTTGATGTTTTCGCTTCGAAGCTTTTTTTAAACCTTTACTAAACCATGGCGAATTTAAGTTTTTAATTTTAATTGTTACTTCTTTCTCTGGGAAGTGTTTTTCATACAAGTTTAAAAAACTGTGATGGAAGCTATTAAACATGGAATTAGCATCATTGAATGATTCTAATGGAGACCAGTTTATATTTCCTAGTTCATTTTGAAACGCTATAATGAAACGAGGTGCAAGGCTGTGATCAACAACAAAGGATTCGCCGCGAAATATTGATAGTGAAATACAGCTTGGTCAACATTTTGTAGAGTTGCACTTGTTTTGTCCGGAAGGAAATCAACTTTTTTTAATACTTTTGATTAATTTATTAATTTTCGTGTACAAATAATGAACTTTGTGATGAATAAAACTTGAAGAACATTGTCTCTAAACAGTTACATAGTTATTTCTCTAAATTGAAAAAATGCAACACTTTTATATAAAGAAACTAAATTAGCATTATTTGGTTTCACTTGTTTTGTCCGATACTGTATATGAAACAAAATTTTATGTTTACTTTAATTGCTTTTTCTCTGTTTTCCTTGTTAAGAATACAGCCATTATAGTTTGAATAATTTTAGAAAAATCAAAAAACTTCGAAAACCATTAAGCGCTGAGTTGAGCAATTTTTAAAATAAAATGTTGCGCAATTTTACACAGATTTTTTTCTTTTTTTTGTCTTTCATTTGATGATAACTTAAAATACCGTTTTGGGTAGAATCTGTTTTAAATTAAAAGTATAGCTATTCTAATACGTTCCGAAAACCTAGTAACTAATTTTTCAAGCATACCAACAAAAGCCTATCAATCAGAAACATTGGTTTTATTTAACAAAGGATAATCATTAAAAAATCATTAAAAACACTAAATATTGATTAAAGTTTCTCAAACGGGATCCCGGGATCTCGTTTTCCCGGAATCCGGGAAAACGAGATCCCGGATGAAAGCCATCCCGTTATCCCGAGATTTCAATGAAATTTCCTGGGAATCCCGGTAATTTTTTTAAATATATTTAAAGCATTTGTAAAGAAATTAAAAATATTATTACTCAAAATTTGAGTACTAATTACTTCCTTTTCCTTTTTGTAATGAATTTCTATAAAAATTAGGAAGAAATATTATAGAGGGTAATTAAATCAACAATATTTTGCAGTTTTGGTTTGATAAAATATTATTATTGAATTTGATTTATAAATAGATTTGAATTACTTATTTAAATTTTATATGTTGTAACTTACAGCATATAAAGCTTAAATAAACAAACCAAATCAACTTATAAATCAATTTTGATAATATTATTTTATCTATCTTAGACACAAACCAAAACTGCAAAAAATTGGTGACTAATCTAATAAGTAATCACAATTGCAAGAAATTACAATAAATAAAGTGGAGTTCCTGATATGTTAAATATAAAATAACCACGAACAAGTTTTAAGTACTTTACGGACAAAAAAAGTAATTAGTTACGCATAAAAGTTGGTAGTTAGTAAGTAAAGTAATTAGTGAAGAAAGTAGATAGTATTTAAAAAGTGAAATAACTATAAGCTATTAATTTATGTAAATTTACTATCAGCACACTATTTCCGGATTTATTTGTAGGTAATATAGTTTTATATTTATATTTTTGTATATTTTAATCTATTTAATTAGTAGCAGGCGCGGACTGGCCCACCGGGAAACCGGGAAATTTCCCGGTGCGCCCCACCATCCAAGGCGCCCCCTCCCCCGCCAAATCATAAGTTGTATATCTCCATAATTCATGATCCTTCAATTTCTTACAATACAATTGAAGCATCATTTATATCAGGGGCGAATTCAAAAATATTTTAGGGGAGGACAGAAAAATATTTTTGACTTTTAACAAATACTCGCGTGAATTAGTTTTTCTCATGGTGTTTACTTTACTAAATAATACTGTAAACTAGACCCAAAAGAAACTTTACTTCGTCCAAGATTAAAGTTTAAAAATGTGATTATGAAAAGTCTGAGTAAGGCCCCCCACTTCCCTAAACTCGCCTCTGATTTATATCACAAACTTAATAACAAACGGATTTGATACTTCTTATTTTTGATTCCAAAAGCGTGTCATGGAGATTCTTTAAA